TGGAGACTGAACACAAGTCCATGGTTGTAATCTGACCATGTGTCACATGATAACAGGAATGTGGCAGTATATTATAAGAGCTATATTTAGAAACTGTTACTGATTAATTACAACATTCTTGCACTGGGCCCCTATCTTTATCTCCACATTTCCTCCACCTTGGCTTAAAAAGTACCCATCAACTACTTCTTCCCCCATCGACTACTTCATAAATACAAAAGTGGCATCATGGGCGTAGGATTGGTAACAAATTTTGGACTCTTGCACAAGGCCTGAGAGGCTGGGTCATTGAAGGCCACAGTGTGACATAATTTGGTGGAAGGTGACAGGATGTGCAACAGGATCTCAGGTGAAAATCACATTTTTCTGATGTGGTTGTAACCTGAGAACCTTGACAAATCAATACCTAGAAAAGCACCATTGAGTGGGAACCTCAGGTGCTATTTAAAAACTTGGTATATAGCCAAAGGTTCACCTTATCATCTCCATGCAGTCAGTTAGCTTAAAAGGACCTCTTAATGTCCTTTTCTCGTCACCGATTATTATAGGAACCGAGTTGTTTAAGAAAGAGGTTGCAGCTCTGGGTGTCTTTCTACACTTCCTTATTCTGCTGCGCTTCTGTCCCATCACCACAAGCCGCCACAAGTCACAAAGATGAGAGGCCTGGGGTGTCACTATGTGTCCTCAATCAATACCTTAGGTTGGTGTGTAGGAGGTGGTAAAGTCCTTTACACTGATTAGAGGAACCGAATTGTTTTTGAAAGAAGTGGCCGGCTCCAGGGGGTCTTTCCACCACGCACATACACTTCCTATCCAGAGCTTCTTTACCATAACTATGACCCACTACCTTGTTGGATACTAGGGAAAAAGGAACTCACAGAGGGAATGTAGAAAGCTGAGAGGCCTGGAGTGTCACATAAGCCAGAGGTTGGTGTATAGGAAGTGGTACTACTGATTATAGGAACCAAGTGGTTTTAGAAAGCAGTGAGGGCTCTGAGGTCTTTCCTCTTCACACACATCAACTTCCTCATCCAGAGCCTCTTCCAAGAACTTTGATGGCCCCTTTTCTACTCCCACATTTCGTTTATTTTCACCAGCCATCTATAAAAGAGTGCAGCTGGGCCCCAAGGAAGGCAACAGAAGAGGTAAAACTACCAACACCATGACTTCAACTACTGCTCTTGTGGCTTTATTGGTCTTCGGCACTGTAGTCAGTGCCATTAACGAGAATGACCAAGGACTGACTACTGGTAGTCAGCTCAAGGAGGAATTTGAGAGGGAGCTGAATGAGACAAGAGATCTCCTGCTAACTGAAATATCCAAACTCTCTAATCCCGGCTACACGGCTACTCACCCAGCCTCCTCCTGCAAGGAGATCCTCCAGCTGGCCCCACAGTCTCCCTCGGGTCTCTACTGGATCAGTGGAGCCGACAACAGACCCATACAAATGTACTGTGACATGGAGAGGAGCTGCAAAGGTGTAGTTGGAGGCTGGATGAGGGTGGCCTCTTTTGACGCCAATATTGGTGAATGTCCATCTGGTTTGAAGACGCTCACCAGTCCTCACAGACTGTGTGCTAGGAACATTAATGGTCCTGGATGCTCCACAGCTGTATTTCCTGTACAGGGAATAAAGTATTCTCAAGTGTGCGGCAAAATAATTGGATTCCAGCAAGCCCGTACAGATGCATTTCATGCCCGTGGAAGTCCAAGCGTTTGTTCAAACTATGTCGATGGAATCAGTCTAACGCATGGAGACTATCGCAACCACATATGGACATTTGCTTCAGCCCTTCATGAGCATAACTCTCACGTCGGCAGTGTGTGTCCCTGCACTAACACGCGCAACTCTCCACCTCCTTCTGTGCCTGACTTTGTGGGAAACGACTACTTCTGTGACACCGGGAGCGAGAATTTCTACCAAGACATCTTGTACATAAGTGATCCTCTCTGGGATGGTGCTGGATGTGGGGAGAACAACACCTGCTGTGACTTCAACTCTCCACCATGGTTCAGGAAAGAGATCTCTGCCCCTGTCAGTGATGACATTGAGATGAGGCTTTGCACCGATGAATACAACGAAGACGTTAAATTTGAAACACTGGAAATTTACGTGCAGTGATCATGACTCGTCATTGATATTCTAACAATTCTGTAGGCTAGTATTATTTTCTCCCAGGATATCATACTCTACTTTTGTATGCACTAGCCACTTGCTGTGATCATATAAACATGCTGTACTGCAAACTGCTACATGATGTGTATAACTCAGCATCCTGGAGAGCTTGCATGCGAATGTGTACTCCAGAAAAAGTGTTATGTTTCTAATAAGATAGTGACAGCAGTCGGTTGCACGCTGAAGACCAAAGAAATAACAGCTGTTTTCTGCAATGAAAGAATATAGGGGTGGGACAGTGTGAAAGCAAGCACAGGTCTAAATGTCAGAGGGAGAACATACATAGCTCCTAATCATGCATGTTTTCCTTCGTTGGCGCTTAAATCAGTAGCAAGATGTGATTTGATGCTGCATTTTTGCGTATGTTACTAGTGTAGCTTTTGTTACACAGAGTACAGAGAGGTGTTACATGCATGTTATTATATGCTGCTTAATTTATAACCTACTGTCCTTGTGTATGCATTCTGCCGTACTTGCTTAGCTACGAGATTTAACTGACTTACCAGTACTGTTGGCATCATTAAGGTCTCTGTTATACATACCTCTTCTACTCTGCTGTGGCTCAGGCAACTGAAGGAGATAGAGGACAAGATCCTGGAGGTCCTCTCCTCGTCAGAGGGGAACATCCTGGAAGACGAGACTGCAATTGAAGTTCTCTCCTCCTCAAAGACCCTCGCCAACGAGATCTCGGAGAAGCAGGCCGTGGCAGAGGCAACAGAGGTCAAGATTGACGAGGCCCGTCTCGGCTACAAACCGATTGCCATCCATTCCTCCATTCTATTCTTCTCCATCACCGACCTGGCCAACATAGAGCCAATGTACCAATACTCCCTCACCTGGTTCGTGAACCTCTTTGTCAACTCTATTGACAACGCAGAGAAATCGGACAACCTCCAGGCCAGGTTTGCCAATCTCAGTCTCTAAAACCACATAATTATTTTTAAAGTCTTTTAGGACAACATGTAACCCCACGCTCGATAATCATTTCCTGGTAGTATGAATGATTTTCCCCCTAAAACTTGGTGAGAACCCCACTTACAGGGAATTGTCAGCAAATAAGGGCTAAATTTAGTAGTGCTACTAAAGAGAACTAACCACTAGGCCCCAGTGCAATAATGAAAATAAGTTTCCATTTTCAGTAACAGTTTCTTAATTTAGCCCTTACACACTACCACATTCCCTTTAATATGACACTGAAGGGTAATGTGTACTTGCCTGCTTGTTTCTTCCACACAGACTTGAGATACTCAAGACTCACTTCACCTACTCCCTCTACTGCAATGTGTGCAGATCTCTCTTTGAGAAAGACAAGGTAGCTATGTACACATGTCTTAATGGCACCCTTCCTCTCGAAGGCTTCGACTTCTCTTAATTGCGGTCGTTGAGGAGTTGGGATGTTCACTTAAAAGAGTTTAATTTCAGCAACCTTCTCTTCCCTGATCTCTGTTTAATTCCACTCTTCTGTTTATCTCTCTCACACTCACACCAACAGCTCCTGTTCTCCTTCCTCCTGTGTGTCAACCTCCTGAAGCACGTCCACGAGCTGGAGGAGCCAGAGTGGAGGTTCCTCCTGACTGGCGGGGTCGGTCTCGACAACCCTCACAGGAACCCCGCCTCCTGGCTCCCTCATAAGTCCTGGGATGAACTCTGTCGTCTCGACGACCTTGAAAAGTCAGCTTGAGATCTCTCTTACATACAGTAGAACCCTCTGCATAAAGGACATGCTGGGACCATGAAATTGGGTGTCTTGAATTCAGGAGTATAGTTAGACACATGTAACCGGATCGAAATAAGTCTCCTTTATAGAGAGGTGTCCTTTATTCCGACTGTCCAAGAGGTTCCAAGTCATTGCATGAAATACCTGGAAAAGAACGATTCATTTTTTTGGTTAAAAATGCGCTACCTCTGGTAAGTCATGAACAATTGGGATGTTGTTTGCAATGAAGCATTGCACTTCCTTTGGTCCAAAGTTGTTGTAAGCCTCTAGGATAGCCGTGAGAGGTGCCAGGGAGTCTAGCAGCAACGTTTGCACTTTAGCAAGTTGTTTGTCTGCTGCTTTATGTATTAACTAAAATACTGTTGCTCCCTCATGCAAGGTTCAAGGGAATTCGAGTGACGTTTGGTGGGATGGTGAAGGAGTGGAAGGAGTACTACGACAGTGTGGACCCTCAGACTCACGCCCTCCCAAAACAGTGGGACAAATTGGGCATGTTTCAGAAGATGATTGTTCTACGCTGCCTCAGACCTGACAAGGTCTCAATGATACACAATGCAGCTTTGCTGAGTGTTGCATGCAACTTCAAATTAACATGAAACAGAAAGCAATACTATTGCATGCAACATGCTGAATGGACCCCATCATACATTGCAAGTTGCATGCAACTTTGTTTCACAAAACAAACTGCATCGATGCGTTCTTCGAGTTTCATAGTATAATGCGATAGTTTGGGAAAGTTTTGTCACTGTGTTTTAGGGTGTCACAGTTTCAAACGGTGTCCCTGTAGATGGTTCCGGCTGTGCAGGACTTTGTGGTGGGCAAGCTCAAGAAGCGCTACATCGAGCCGCCTCCGTTCAACCTCCCCAAGGCATTCGCTGACTCTCACTGCTGTGCCCCGCTCATCTTTGTCCTGTCTCCCGGAGGTGACCCCATGGCAGCTCTCCTCAAGTTTGCCGATGATCAGGTGAACCAAACTCATCGCTCCCAATATTCCTAGTACACAGTGACTGATAAGCAACATGTATGCGTTTGACTTAAAGGGAAGGTGACAGTTTCATAAGGGCTAAATTTACGAAAGATGTACTAACTAAACAAAAAGGCGCAGTGCTATAATGCAAGTAGGTTTCCGTAGAAAGCTAAACTGAAATGGGAAGGGAACTTGGCATACATTCTGGTGTGACTGTAAGTATCGAGTGTACCACTATCTTCTCCCCACTCCACTACTGCTGTTCACAGGGATTTGGAGGAGCCAAGCTGAGCACTCTCTCCCTCGGCCAGGGTCAAGGTCCGATTGCCATCAAGATGCTCCAGAGTGCCCAGAAGGACGGGACGTGGGTCGTGCTCCAAAACTGCCACCTTGCCGTCTCGTGGATGCCCACCCTCGAAAAAATCTGCGAGGAGTTTAACCCTGACACCACCCACCCCGACTTCCGAGTCTGGCTCACCAGCTACCCGTCCCCCCACTTCCCCATCTCCGTGCTCCAGAACGGGGTTAAGATGACCAACGAGCCTCCAAAGGGGTTAAAAGCCAACATCATCCGATCGTACATGAACGATCCAATATCCGACGAAGAGTTTTTCGGTGCCTGCTCTAAACCAGTAAGCTTAATTACAGTGGAACTCTCAAACAAGGGATACTTGTAGAGAGGTCATCCCTACTCGAAGGTCAAATAATACATTAGCATGGGGTTGAAACAAGTGTCCTTTGTAAGGAGGTTGTCCCTATCTCGGAGGGTCCTTTTATCAAAGGTTTAACTGTAGTACGTACTTCCAAAACCTTTTTGTAAGGAGGTTGTCCCTATCTCGGAGGGTCCTTTTATCAAAGGTTTAACTGTAATACGTACTTCCAAAACTTTCATCACTTTAGTAGTACCTGATACACAATCTGACTCGAGCAGTAATCTTGTGCGAAAATCTGGTACCTTCAACCTATACTTTGTCTACCTTGCAGAAAGAGTGGAAGAAGCTGCTGTTTGGTCTGTGCTTCTTCCATGCCCTGGTGCAAGAGCGCCGCAAGTTTGGTCCGCTCGGGTGGAACATTGCCTACGAGTTCAACGAGACCGACCTCCGTATCTCTGTCAGACAGCTCCAGATGTTCCTCAATGAGTATGAGGTGAGCCTACGTACACATACGCCAGCTGCTAGTTATAATATGTACATAGAAAAAGTATTAGATTTGCACTGCTTGTCGAAGCTGAACAGCAACAACAACTACAACAAGAAGAATTTTGAACCAATAATGATTTAAGCAATATCTTAGAGAACATGTACATATTTTGACCACCCTGCAGCAAGTACCGTTTGCCGCTGTGAGTTACCTGACTGGCCAGTGTAACTACGGAGGTCGTGTGACGGACGACTGGGACCGCAGGACTCTGGTGTGCGTCCTCGAGAAGTTCTACTGCCCAGAGATCCTCAGATCCAGTTACACTTTCTCCACAAGCGGAACCTACTACTGCCCTCCCGATGGAGATGTATGTGTGCAAGCTCTAGATGCATTCACACAACAAGCTTATTTTACTACTACAACTCACACATGGTGGCTTACAGTTAGAGGATGTCCATGCGATGTTTGGTTTAACAGGGCTCTTGCTTTGTCAACGTCGTTTCCCATTCTGCACACAGCACAACAGCTACGTGGAATACGTGAGCTCCCTCCCCATCATCCCCCACCCTGAGGTGTTTGGGATGCACGCCAATGCCGACATCACCAAGGACCAACAGGAGACCAACCTCCTCTTTGAGAGCATCCTACTCACACAGGCTAGCCTCCACACACACACACTCACACCAGTGGTGTAGGAACCACGGGGGCTCCGGGGGCTGGCGCCCCCCTATATTTTCTCAGGCTTGTGCGTAGAAAGCGAGCGAGTGTGACAGCGATCGTGCGCAGCATATGATTATTATGCGTGCACATTGGAGCCCCCTTTGTCTGAACATCTTCCTACGCTACTGCACACTCACTCTCACACACCACATACACACAGCACACACACACTCACTCACTTACTCACTCACTACTCACCTAATGTAAAATGTTTCTACCTTTAGCACATTTTATAGGCTTATTACAAAATAAACGCGAAACCTATCAGTAAAAATGTTAGCGCTATGTCCCATAGAAAAGTATGCCATAAGTAAAGTAGCTACGCAGGTTCTTGTATAAACAGTTTACACGACCACTTCCCGGGCTCAGGTGAACACGAATTGACTTTCAGCCCTCGTTCCTCAAATAACCGTCATCTTTCTGCACTATTAGGCACGAACTACATCGAGCGAGGGAAAGTCAGACGACGAAGTGCTGGAGGAAGTAGCCGCCGACATTCTCAACAAACTGCCACAGGATTTCGACACTGAAGAAGCACTTCGTAAATATCCCACCACTTACACACAGGTAGCTACAACGTGAATCTGAAGTAGATGTGCCTCCTTAGTAGAGTGGTGACTCGCACCGTGTGCTCCCTATTTTTTCAGAGCATGAACACAGTGTTGGTGCAGGAGATGGTGCGGTTCAACCGACTCACTGACGTGGTGCGAAGCTCTCTCTCCAACGTACGCAAAGCCATCAAGGTAAAATCACGTGGGTATATACACACCGCCCTTCATGTGCTGCATTTGTATCTGTATGTAACTAGTATATGTAACTACATAGCCAGTATAAACTGGCTAGATGCGAAAAGAGGCTAGACTAGCTCGGTTAAGATCATGTCTGCAATCAAGGTAGTGGTACGTATGGTAGCACTCTTACAGTAAGGGTATATACAGCATGTTTTAATGACCTGGTCTTCATCAGGCGAATATGCCAACACCTAGAAAGGATAGTTTTCCCAATATACACCCTAAATTAATGAGAGCGAACTCATGGTCACCCAGTGATAATATTGTATGTGCGTGCTACAGGGTCTGGTGGTGATGTCCAGTGAGTTGGAGGAGGTGGCAGACTCCATCCTCAAGGGAAAGATCCCTGGTCTGTGGAAGAAAAAGTCCTACCCCTCCCTCAAGCCTCTAGGGAGCTACGTCAATGACCTACTGGCAAGACTCAAGTTTCTCAACGTGAGCGACAAATCTACTCTCAAGACATGTTGTGAAAGGTTCTGTGTTATGCTGTAGGACTGGTTTGATGTGGGGCCTCCGTCTGTGTTCTGGATATCTGGATTCTTCTTCACTCAGGCCTTCCTTACAGGTACGCCAGCATAATATCCACAAGACTCATCACCAACACATTATGTGGATCCAATGTGCACTTGCATGAACGCTATAGAGTCTGTTTACATTGAGGAGTCAGCCGTTAACAAATGTCAGATGGTCTATTGTTACATGTGTGCACACATTGGTTTTATGTGTATAATTATGTAGGCGGCATGTCCAATAGGGAAAGTCGTTCTGACCGTTTTATGATACTTGATACACGCATATGCCGTTGGACTCGGAACCACGAGACATGCAATAGTAGTTAAATCATATTCATAGCACAAAGTATGTGGAATAATTATACTAATGCGACAAACTCGGCTGGAATAGACTATAAAGCTATTTGCTGTGGTACAGGAGCTCAACAGAACTTTGCAAGAAAGTACCGCATCCCCATTGACCTGCTGGGGTTTGACTATGGGGTGCTGGAGGACAAGGACTACAAGACTCCTCCAGAAGATGGTCTGTTAGAGTATATACCCTACACAGTGTATAGTACATCTATACTTGTACTGTCTCCACTATACTTCCCATGTGAGACGTATGTCTGCATGTTTTACTCCCTCAAAAGGTGTGTATGTGAAGGGTCTGTTTTTGGATGGAGCGAGATGGGACCGGAAGACCAAATTGTTGGGAGAGTCACACCCCAAGATACTCACTGATGCAATGCCTGTGGTACGTACACATGTAGCATGTTGGTTATCTTTATGGTGCCCAAACGTTAAGCATACAATTTTTGTAAAATTGTAACACAAAATGTGTGAGTTACATGCTGTCCTGAGTGTAGATAGTTGACTCGTGTGCTTTGCTTCCTCATTGTTGACATGCATTGCTTGCAACTTCGTTCAACCACTCTCCCCTCCTCTGGGACTCTGTCTGTGTACAGATGTGGCTAAAGCCTTGCAAGCGGGACGACATCCCTCAGCGTCCATCGTACATCATCCCTCTCTACAAGACGAGCGACCGACGCGGGACCCTCTCCACCACTGGCCACTCCACCAACTTTGTCGTGGGCATGAAGCTGCCCTCGGACCAGCCCTCGGAGCACTGGATACAGCGGGGAGTGGCACTCCTCTGCCAGCTCGACAACTGAAAACTCTTTGTAAAAAGACAGTCAGAAGTTGTGACACACACTGTGTATTAACACATGAAAGGTTTTGTGTGTGTGTGTAATTTATTGTACACTTGAAAAACATTTTTAACCCATCCCCTACTGGTTTTCCTTTGGGTGTGTTATCACTGGTGGGTGTATCCTGCGACCTGTGCCTACTGGAGGCTACATAATATGTTCACTACATCAGTGCTGACCGCACCACTTGGCCACGTGTGTGCTATCTTCGACATTTTTGAGACGTTCAAGTGCTCAATACTCATGACACATGACAGTGTATTACCTATTAATGTTCAGACTAGACCCTCCACACTCTCATAGTTGACGTCCTCATGGTCATTGACTCAAGCCTCGTCAACACACAGCCTCACCTCAATGTCGTCACTGGACAGGGGCAGAGATCTCTTTCCTGGAGAGCCTGGTGGCGAGTTCCAGTCACAGCAGGTGCTGTACTCACCACATCCAGCACCATCACAGAGAGGATCATCTCCATAGAGGATCATCCACTGGTCTCACTGCCAGTGCCAGTGCTTCTCATTGTGTACAGTAAACAAACAAATAGGTATGACCATTCTCTTCGAGTGACAGATATCCACTACAAAATGTCGTTACTGTTATGTTGTTAACCCTCGGCGCGCATGCGCAGCGAGGGTTACGTTTGTGTGTACCTACCTAGTACTGTGTCTGTCTGTTACTCGTCATCTCACTTCTCGAGTGTTCGTTCGTCTCACAAAGGATACCAACGGGCAATGAAGGTCAGAAATTTCGAACGGTTTTCTCTTAAAATGCTCCGTTGCAAAGCTAGAGCGCGAAAAAGCCAATATGCAAATACACAACGGTTGGCTTACCGCGGTCGGATCGATCCGCGTGCTCTGCGTATTTCGGAGGCACCAGAAGATGCAACGCAGGGCGTGTATCGCCTCTCGCATGCTATCTAGTTGTGTAGTTAGCCCGCGTCAGACTCTGCGCGAGCTGGCAATTGAGACCACGAGTAACAGCTAAAACTAAACCCAGCCCATCAATTAGTGGTACGGCGCATGCGTTTACTTACGCGTGCGCGTCACAGTGCGCCGAGGGTTTGCACTTCAGTTTCGTTTTTGAGTTATGGGAGTTGAATCTAGGAATATGAACAAAACACCCTATCATAGCCCCATACATCTATGATGCTAAGTACTACCGTATTTGGTGATCCCACACAGGATGTTTGTTGTGGGCTTCTACAACGAACAGCTCATGTGTCTCATGAACTGCACTACAAGGTCCACCTGATAATGCAACCAATCGTAGGAAATATAAGAGCTGGTCTTCCTTACAGGTGCCAGGCTGAGAGAGTAGTGAACAGCTGGTGGTTCCTTGCAGACGAACTGCCTTATACGGCAAGAATCACAGTGCACTAGTTAAATCTCAGCACTAAGTGTAAATTATACAGAAAATGTTTTGTTCAAAGCTGCTCGTATCCAGTCCTCTCATCGGCTCGTCGCATAGTGGCCTCACAAGAGAGCAGTTAATAAAACTATCCTACAACCTGATTGTAAGTTTCTGCAGTGTCTGGTGACTTTATAATGATGACCCCCTTGTCCTCGATGGTCATATTATAGCATTAGGGTCAGTTAGGAGAATGATCAAAGCTCTTGACCACACTGGTAACCCTGTAAGGCTTTCGTATTAGCATGCATTAGCCTTGCTACCACTTCATATGACCGCACCATGTCAAGGTAATTAAGATGCTACCGCAACATGGGAGTTTGTATGTCTTGTGGCTTTCGAATGTTTTATGCAAGAAGAGTTGCAATAGTACTTGTGCTTTTGGGCGACTTCTCAATCATGGAAATTCGTGTGCTGGCCTCTGCAGTGCTGCTTGTCGTTTGCATAGTAGTCTGTGCCTGTCAGGAGAAGGAACAACCACTGACTACTAGTCAACTCAGGAGGGCAGTTGAATAGAGCTATGCATGCTATGGTAGTAACAGTCTTCGAAATGTTCACTCCTGGCTACACTCCCAGTCACCCTGCCTCCTCCTGCAAGGAGATCCTCCAGCTGGCCCCACAGTCTACTTCAGGTCTCTACTGGATCAGTGGAACTGACAACAGACCCAGACAAATGTACTGTGACATGGAGAGGAGCTGCAAAGGTGTAGCTGGAGGCTGGATGAGGGTGGCCTCTATCGACATGACTGACAATAGTAGTACCTGTCCATCTGGTCCGAGGACCCTCACCAGTCCTCTCAGACTGTGTACTTTGATGGTGGTGGATGCTCTTCAGTTATGCTGCCAGTACAGGGAGTAGAGTACTCTCAAGTATGTGGCAAGATCATTGGTTACCAGGACAAAACTGCAAATGCATTCAAAGGTGGCTATGAAGGAATCAACACCACCTATGTTGATGGAATCAGCCTAACATATGGAGCAAGTCCACGCAATCACATCTGGACATTTGCTGCAGCACTTCACGAGTACCACTCTAAGAAACACTCTGTTTGTCCCTGCACAGACACACGTTGGAATCCACTTCCTGTGGTGCCCAGCTTTGTTGGAAACGACTACTTCTGTGACACTGGCAGTGAGAACCTCTTCCAGTTCATCTTCTATGGAGATGATCCTCTCTGGGATGGTGCTGGATGTGGTGAGTACAGCACCTGCTGTGACTGGAACTCTCCACCATGGTTCAGGAAAGAGATCTCTCCTCCACTCAGTGATGACATTGAGGTGAGGCTATGTGCTGACGAGGGTCGAGTCAGTGAAGGCATTAACTTTGAGACTCTGGAGATCTACGTGCAGTGATTGACCATCAATTATAATATGAACAATGGAGTTATACTACAATTATAGGAAAAATCCATTTATAATTCTGTACAGTTGAGTAGCTAGCAAGCACATAGCGACTTGAAATCATTTTGCATTTTTACAACCGGTCCCTAATATGTCATTACTGGAACTAGTAAACCGTGTCTCTGTGATATTTTGAAGAGAGGGAAATTTGCAATCAGCAAAAGCGTTAGCTAAAGAAACAGAAATTTGGTGTCCAATAGTCAGGTGTGGATCTATTGAAGCTGGTCCTCCAGACCAAGAATGGGTTTGACCAATAGAAGCTCTTACCGGTGATGTAATGTACTGATGTATAGCTACATGTAAGTGTGTGTGACCAACATGGGAGCGTTCGTTGGTCACACACTAACTTTGAACAGCCTAACTCGTCATGAACTTCGAATGGCCTATAATGTATTGTGCCATTCGAAGCTAGCCCTCTCCCTACACACCAGCAATGCCACAGACCCATTTTGCCTAGCGATCGCATCAACAAGTGATAACATTATATAAGACGGATCAATGATCAAGACATTATTTAGACTAGCAAATTGTACCCAGAAGTTTGTGCAGAGAGATAAAGCCAAAATTGGAAGAGAAAAGGTGTGTTCTTGTGGCTCTTAGATTTTGTACTTCTCTCTGTGAAGATGAGCCGGAAAAATTCCGAGATTCTGGAAGACAGACTTAATACTTCCACCAATTCTTGTGCAAGGCTTTTATTAACATGACGATGCTTGTGTGATGGTGTGTAGCTAACTGCTCTTTGCACCAGCATTTAGAGTTATAGGGGTCTACGAGTGACATTTTACATTGTGGTGTGGGTTATAGGCCACCCATATTTGCATGGATACCAAAAATAACAATACAGTATTGCTTTATTGGCTAACAAGTGAATAAGGAGGAGGGTGCAGAACAGTTTGCACTACAGCATTCACCACTGTCATATCACAGTCCCCGCTAAGAACTATGTCATAGATATCCATATACAGGTCCAGTCGGTCTTTCACCTATTGGCATCAGCAGCGGTAATGGCAAACACTAGGTGTCAGGGAGTAAAATTTCTACTAATGAAAGGCTGTACACATGAGCATACAGTAAATGTACAGTTTGCATTTGCTTTTGAACGCCGATTACTTCGCCCTCTGTATAATGGCTCTCTTGTTCCATTGTGGATACAGAAATGAGCAACAGCCAGATGAAAACACGCATTTCGTCAAGGGTCTACTGCAATGTGCAAGAGGCTTTGCTTTGCACATCCAATAGCCTCACATACAACTGTGAACCAATAGATATCCTCCGTCTACTGGTACACATTACAAGGACATTGTAATAATGGGCAAAAACACACCCTCCAAAACACTGTGTGAAAATTGGTCAGGTCTCGAACATACGCTTGGTGCCAAAAATGGTGTGCTACTACGCTCTGCACTTTGTGGGGCAGCTAGCTAAGTAGCCCTATAATGCAATCTTTGTCAAGTAATAAGCGAAAAGCTCCGCTGGAAAAAGGCAGTTACTTTCTATGCCAATTCAAAGGATCCACACATCTGTGAGTGCTAATGCATCATCATAATATTTATTACGCCAGGCTCTTCAAAACGGGCTCAACCAAATTCCGTTACAAAGCCTAAGTAAATTATATGACATGTGTAAATGATAGGTTGGTAGCTAGAGATGAGCTAACATCATGATTGAGGAACCCTATCTTGAGGACATGGTGGGTATGAGGGAGACTGTCTGCCATTTTTGGATCTCCCTGCGAGTCCCCTGCCAGAATGATATTACTCCTACCCTGTACACACATAGACAGAGAGAAAGGGAGAGAGTGGAGAGGATGTTGGACTAGGTTATGGTGTGTGACTGTATCTTTTCGGAATACTTCATATGCGGGGGTGCAAAGTACATACATAGTATATATTAGATGCCTACCGCAGTCAACCAGACCCCTGAAAGGTGAACTAATGCAAGCAGACACGATGCAAGCAGACACGACTGCAACATTTCAGCGACTTATGCGTAAGCATTAATACACTGACACTTTAGAGTGTTTTCTTAAAAAAGAACACCGCCCTACCACTATGAAAGATTCGACAGCAGCCAGTTGCTCTGGGGACTTTCCCTTGTTGTAGCTGTGGACGAAGGGGTGGGAGTGGCTGACGGCAACTCCAGCCTCGTCGAATACCAGTCTATTGGACACCACGTGCAGGTTGGGTCTGACCGCCGAGAACTGCCGGAACACCTCCAGTAGTGTGTCTGCACACAAACAGAATAAACAGCTGGTCCTACGATCTATATCATGTAGCAGTATGATTGATATTATCCCACACTCTTTACTCTAATACAGTGCTGTCTTACTCTTACAGCATTACAAGAGATATGATGGGGGGCATAGGGAAGGAAAGAACAAGGGGTCATTACACAGCTAATACACACAAAGCTACATGACACCATCCTTATATCTTTGTCTGATAATATGTGCCTATTAATGAATAATAATTAGATATAGCTTTGTGTGTCTTAGCTGTGTGACGACCCCTTGTTTCTTTCTTTTTTTAATGTTTTGAGCCATCCCTCTATCCCCCTTCATTTTGAAGAAATGCTTGTTTCATATGAACAGCTCTGACTATAGCTACGGAATTTAACTATACTGTGCAGGGGATTGACAGTGAACTGATTCCACTTGTTCACCACTGCCTGACAGAGCAAGTGCCGTGTAAATTAGAAGCCAGCTTTTGTAGTGAGATGGAGTTAACACCACTGTGTACACAAAGACACGCCACCATGTGCGTAGTAGGTAGTCAATGCACCGCACGGGAGCGCAGCACTGCGCGCGCATGTGGGCAACGCCCCTTTAGCCGCGTGCTGCGTTCAGGAAATGGCGTCGTTCGGTGTCTACCATGGAAGAGCTCCACGATCTACCGTAGGGACTTGCGAGAAGAAATGGACGATCACTTGATGGCTTTACAAACCTCCGTGGAACCTAGAAACGATTGGTAAAAATATTAGCGCTTCAACTGGTTCCGGTAAGGAGATAGCAGGTTCGAAGAAGAATAATAATTATGATGATGACGAAAATCATGAAATCGTGTATGAGCGAAACATAGTCTAGCCTCTAGACTATTGCTAGTGATTTTTGAAGGCATAGTGAGTCCATTCTCACCAAACTTTGAGGCATTTTGTATGCGGATCACGTGAGATTTGACCTGTGCCATCCCTATAATTGTAGAGCGTCTACCGACTTTACCCTAATAGAGTGCTGGCAGCACTTCAAGATATTTAGGTCTTTTTTTGTAGTAACTACTCCAGTTGGAGAGTAGGGGACCTTTAAAATGTGTGGCATGATTGTAACTTTAATTTGTACCTCCGAGTCCTGCCGAGAAGACAAGCAGAGGTATGTTGAAGGAGTCCAACTCGCTGAAAAGCACTTCACATTTGTCCCTTTAAAGAATCATTGTGTTGACTGATGGATCAAGGTAGACACGTTACATACCTGAACTGAATGTTTGCATTTGCTACCATTTCTTTCAGCTGGCTCCTCTTAATTCTTTCTCCAATCATCAGGTTGTGGTTACCTTCCCACCTACACACAAAAACAAATTCACACAATATTAGACTCTATACATGCGTACCATTTGACCATGTGTTGTGTCTTCTCCTCTAGACTCATGTCCCTGGAGCACGATAACCACACCAAACATAATTATCAAGACCATGAAACGCACTCACACTGCTACTTCGATTGGGTGATACTTGTCAGCCAGTTGCCGGGCCTATTGACGTAGGGAAATGTAACAGTTCTGCACACCCAGTTGGTGATAATCGCATTTGTGTGTTGAGAGTTAATACGTCAATGGGTCCTATATAAGTGCACTTAAAAGAGGAGAGTAATTTGGTGTAACAGCATACTCAATCAATGTTAATTGGCTAATGGGCACTGCCACATGCCGAAATAGGTTCTAAATACTTGTGAAACACAAAGAATCGAACTGCTAGCTTCGCTCGCCAAAGTTGGCCCTAGTAGTTGCTATACCTTTTCCCGATAGTCCTCTGACATTAGCGGAGATTTTTCAACAACCTCTGTATGGGGTATACGTATGGTGCATTACAACAGAGTTGACCGTGTGAACTGAAGTGTGTATTACTGTAAGATGTGAAGCCTCTCTCTCCATTGACCCAGTAGCGCGTCAGCGTCTGGTCAAAATCTGAGAGAAACTGCATGCGTGTAAGACAAAATAAAAACACAAGAAGAGATATGTAATAGGTTTCACTGGTTCTCACTAGCAATTTATCTGGTCCATCCTGCGCTATTGCGGCCACCTTCTGCATGACATCATCTCTATTTCTGACGTGGACACCCGCTCCAGCAAGAACAGACTCCAGTGCTGAGGTCTGCAATGATATTCACAGAGGGTGGGTCTGCTGTAGTTTGCACACACTCACCCGGTGGTTGCTTATGTTGTCCATCGGGATCCAGAGCAGAGTTGCTGCAAGCTAGCTAGCGGGCTACGTTACGGCGGCGGGCGCGCACGATTTTGCGTATGTGCGCACGTGAGAATACCACCAAGTCACATGAAAAATCCGCTAAACACCCGCCAAAAATCGAAAAGAGGAGGAGCGCCGATCGTGTTTGGGATCAACATGGGAGAACTGGAGGTGTATGTGGCCCTCGAGTGCACGGTCAGACTGTACCTGAGGGCCCCCCAGAGGCCAGTGGAGCACAGATGCCGCCTCACTCTCGGGAGCAGCAGGGCCCAAAAGCCGGGTCCGAGCTCTTGCGTCCTGACTGTGGAGGGGAAAGCCTGTCAGCGGAGAACTTTCCGGGTATAAACATTGGCTCATTGGGTATTTAATGAAGTTGGGGAGACGTGTGGGTTTACATAAAGTGGTATATGACAGAGCTGCATAAGGTGTCAGAGACTGCAAAGTGTCATGGATTCGAAACCCAGCTAGAAAAGTTGTCCTGGTTTTTTTCGCATTGTTAATCCTTGTGACCTCTTTGTTGTATATATATACGTATCTACTGCCTGTATACAGGTGACCAAGGAGAACATCACAAAGGTGGTGGCTCGACTGGGAGAGGGGTCGATGACCGTTGTGTTCAAACACGGGTGCTGCGACAGCATTGTCATCAAGGAGGTGATTGACAGGGGCGCCCTCACCCTCTGCCACAAGATCGTCAGTTCAATCTGGATGGGGGTCGGGGAGATGGGGACAGCTGGTGGAGGAACAACCGAGTGGCTCGGGGCATCTCCTGTCAGTGGACGCGAGGCCACGACGCAGCCAACTGGTGAAGTCGGACACAGCCTGTCGGCTAGCGGGAAGAGGAAGATAGAATTGACTCTGAAAAAGAGGTAGCTACCGTGTTTATATAGCAGGACTATTTCGAGGGAGACATGTTTTACTAGAATTTGGCGATAAAAAGTTTTATGGGTTGCTTTTCGGAAAAATTGTTCCTTCCCACAGATTCCACCAAATAGAGGAGTTTGCTATAAATTAACCCGAAATCCGTGAACGTTTTCCCCTCGAAGGTTCCAGCTAGCACTATCACTATGTTGTGCCCTCCCAATGTATACTAGATTTGAGGGTATTGTGCTAACAATAGGTATGGAGACACTCGTGGAAGTAGAATGTTGGAAGCAGCAGCTCAAAAGTCAGCTACAACATGTATGTTTGTACGTATGTATGAATGTGAGTATAATCACTAAGTATGGCAGTACTTAGTATATAGGGATGGGCATGGTACCTAGCATTATAGATGTATAGGGTTATGATAGGGAGTTTTGTTTCTTCTTCTTCTTCAGATTGAACTCGCGTAACTAAAAAACGAAATAACATAATTATAGTAATGAAATTTTGTAAGAATGTAGATATCCATCACCCGAAGAGACTGGTCATACTTATTTCTTTGTAACAACATTGTTTACTGTAAACAACAAATAGCCCCAGGCAATACATTATAATGGGATCACATGTGTCAGTGTAACTCAATTGGTAAGAGCTATGTGAACGAAATTTTGTAGACACAATTACCAACATTAAAATCACAGCAATACATGTTTGTAAACAACAACAAATAGCCTCAGGCACTTTTCTTTAAATTTGCTTCTTCACTCCTCAAACTTTCCAATGGTAGCACACATAGAGATGAAACTCTATATGCCTCTTTTTTAAATTCACAGGATTTGTATGTTTGTATGTTTGTATGTATATACGTACATAGACACTTGTGTAGATCAGTTTGTGTGCACAGGAGGTTTGTTGGGGTTAGAAATTCCACTCAAGTTTTCTCGCAACTCTATATACCTACTGTATGTCTTTCTACTAAGTGGTATATATAGGTGCAATCGGATACAAAGCTTTACTCCTTGTGTCCAGTGTAAGTTCGTACAACACACCCCAGTTGAGCAGTTTACTCAATGTAAAGTATGCCAGGAATTGCATCTTCAGACTAATCTCCTCTGATGCGTGTGTCTTGTAAGTATTGTAGATGAAATGTATTTCACTGTGTAAGGTACAGTATGATTGTGCTAAATTTATGTAACTTATGTAGCTTCATTCTACAAGACTGAATCGCCAGCTGTGGAGTCCTTCCTCCCGGAAACCCCGCCCTCCTCCAGCCCCCTTTTCCAGAGACCCGCAAGACGCAGTCTGACCCTCGAACTCTCCAACAACAGGCGAGGGGTCGGTGGGACCCCTCCAGACAGAGATTCGGGGGGCCAGGGGCTCCGTGGTCCCCGGAGGGCGGCAGTTATGGCGAGAAAGAGGCTTCCTCTGGGAGACATCTGTGAACAGACAACGGACGGCGTTGCTAGTTCCTCCGAACTGAAAGATTACCTCACAATTGATGAGCCTACCAGCAGGGAAGGGTGAGTCAACTCTGTGCAAGATCTTGTTTTCCTTGGGACTGTGTCGGTTATGTAAACCATGACAAAATCTCCCGCCTGTACATGCTCGTGCACACACTTATGAAAACGTAATTTGTGTTACCCTTCGCCAATGTAATAATAAATGTTTGCCAATTTCATAATTTCTCATATGAGTGGGTTATTTTTGATTTACCACAGGTTTGCCAATCTGGGTAACACGTGTTACATGAACGCAGTGCTCCAAGTGCTACTGGGACTGGAGCCCTTTTCTGAAGACTTGCTGAACCAGCAACTTGTAAAACAGGCTGACCCGCAGTCTCTCTGCAGGTACACGCCCAGTGCCACACATGCCTGATTCCAGCACAGGGCTTAATGTCCAAGACTCATTTTTACAAATTGACAGGGTTTCTCCCCTCTACATATGTGTATACATCGTGTGAGTAGGAATTACGGACAAGCAGCATACCTAACATTACCACTGCAGTTCCCCATCCCAGCTCTTAATCCTGTATGATGGGGTGTTCTGTTGCCAATACACAGTAATGTCTATGAACCTCTATTCAGAGGCGTCCTTTATTCGGAGGTGTACTATAAGAGACCGATGTAGTAATTATGGGGCAGAACCAGGTGTCTCTTAAATAGAGAGATGTCCTATACTTGGGAGGGTCCTTTTTCGGAGGTTTAATTTTCTGTATGTATCGTGCAAGGAGAGGTGTGTTTGTTGGCCTCGGTGGTAGACAATGTGACTTTGCTACAGGATGATGTACCTGCTGCTCAAGTCCAAGCGAGCCAAGGACAGCTACGACTCCCAGAGGATCATTCTCAAGAAGATCAAGTCTGTCATTGAGTCAAGTAGACCCAAGTTCTCTGGATATCGCCAACAGGTGATTCAAAACGGAAGGCGTATAAATAAACCTTTGGCGACACTTGCAAACACACGTCTTGGAGGTGCTGCTACTTACAGCTCTTTCTCTCACACAGGCTAGCTTGGTTTGTACATCATTAGAGCTGGGTAATATAATCGTGCAATCTGATTGGACTATGCGCGGACTCTCGTGCATGCGCAGTGGTACACATACTTTGGGCGGAGTCCCCGGTGCTGTGTGCGAAGGTGCCGGTCGAGACGAGCTTGTCGACTTCCGAGTGACAAAGTGGCGCTCGCTAGCCATTTCAGCTGCACCAAACTTGAATTGCGCGCAGTGTCCTAGCTGTGCTTGAACGCCGCCAGCTCAGGCCCCCGCGGCTCTCTAATGCGCTTAGTTTCCTGGACTCGGCATCTAAACAACATGTAGGGTGAGTGCTGGACTCCCTTTTGCAGCATCTGATGCTAACTTGTGTTCGCAAAACAGTCGAATTACAAATCTGGCGTCTCAAAGAGAAGAACCGTAAGGGTAAGCGCAATCCCTATTAGTTTTGTCTCTGCTCAAACAAATTAGTAGTGGATATACAAAAACTACCATGATTTAACATTTAACATTATATGTCAGATGATAATGTATACTTTGATTGGAGTGGAGCTGTTATTGAAAGGGCTAGTGCTAGTGGCTTGTCAGTATAAGATGTACATACATACATACAGTAGTTGACTAGAGAGACGTGCAGACGAAGCAGTGGTTCCTCGGTGAGATCTGCCGCACCACCCATGCCTGTCGCTCCCCGGGCGAACCGGGCTGGAGCCGGCTGCTCTTGCTACGCAGGTAGCTCAGCATTTCTGTCACCACGGGCCGCAGTCGGAGTGACAGCGAGAGTGCGTCGTATCCAAACGGCGGGTTCGACATCTCGCGGACTAGGAAATCTGTCTCTTGCTGGCGGGCAAACCTGAGGATATCCGTTACGTTGTCGCAGTCCACAGAGGTTTCCCCAAACCCACTTCCCTGTGTCTGTTGGTTGGCATTTTCAGTCACCCATGTGCAGGCATCTTTGGCTAGACCGGCCAAGACTTCCTTCAGTGCCTTTGCAGCTAGTCTGTCTTCTCTGCGCAGCGTCCCTGCCTTGGCGGCTTTGGCCACCGCCTCCAGATTCTCGTAAAACTTGAGCTCTTCGTCTTTCATTTTACCACTCAAAATGTCTCTTACCTGAATCAATGAAAAAGTTATTGCCTTAAAGGAACGTGGCAATATACGTGTGCTAAGTGTCACGAAAGACGGAGAATAAAAGTGCATTCTTTCTCTATGCCTTATTCAACTTTAGTGACTAATTTACTCTCACATAGTGATACAGCCACTGATCACACACCCAGAACACTGGGTGGAGCCACCCAGACACACTGTCTTAGTTCCTCCAGACCCATTCTGAGACTAAGACTGTTGATGTATAGCCTAACTCCAACGCACACTAATCCAAAAAATTGCACACATGCTTCAGGGCTGGTGCCAGAGCATACCATACCAGGGGGACATAGTCGCTCTATCTCCTCATTTGCCCCCCCCTGAATATGCTTCCCAGGGGACACTTTGACCCCCAAATAGTAGCCATGCTGCTATTGGGACCATCTGACTTTGTTGCTAGAGGTCTGATTGTCCTCAGGAATAATCTCTGGAGCTAGCTCTGTGTCTTGCTAGGCACACTCCTACTCATCAAATGCAGAAAGCTGTAGCAGCTGATAGTCTGCTATTGAAGATGGATTTTTGTTTGTATAATTATGTGTGCAAAATGCACAACTTCACTTTTTGGTGACCCGCCCCTCCCCCAAAATCACAATCTTCCTGACACGTCAAGTATCGCTAGATCCTTACCAAGACTTTGCCAGTTACGTACAGACCATCGTCGAGAACCTCGGCATTGTTCCGTGCAGGTGTCTGCATGGCTAGACTGCAGCCGGAAGAGCGTCTGGCTGGAGCATTGTAGACAGTGTCCACACTGTACAGGAGGAACCCCACCAGAAGTAGGACATTGACTGGTTTCAACATATCCATGGCTCTTTTTCGATTCTCTTCTCAAAATCTGAAAGAGCATTAACTTTTTCCGTTTCAGGTTCTCCCATTTCTGACTCTTAAATAGTGCTGAAGTCATCAAACTGTTTATTGTTCAATTTAACTCCCTTGCGGTAACAGGGTTTATAATGTATACAAACCAAAAGTTTACTCGCACACACGTCGGCAAAATTTCGTAATGCCCGTTTCAAAACTAGCCACTTTTACACAAACAAAGGAGGACGAAGTGAAATTTCAATACGATGTAAGCAAAGTTGAGGAAGACCGCCTTCTGTGAAAGGCTGCAGACGAGGTAAGCATTCGACCAAGCGAGCCACATCTTTAGCTGTGCATTTGCCATGTGTTTAGGCTTGGTAAACGTTCTCTGCAGAACTGTAGACTATGTGAAAACGGGTATTACGAAGAATATCTTGCACATGCGCGAACAGGTTGCATATAAAGGGTGGATTGGAAATGCGCGCAGGGAAGTACATGCACGGGTGGTACTCCTAATTGATGGGCTGGGCCTAACCTATACTGACTCGTGGTCTCGAGCTCCTACCAGGTCACAAAGAGTCGCAAGCTACACTACTAGATAACACGCGAGAGTCGATACACACCCCGCATTTGCAACTTCTGGTGCCTCAAAGGTACGAAGAGCAAGTGTTCTGGTCGGGGTAAGGTATTTCTGGAACGCAGCAGTTTCAGAGAAAACCCCACATATTTTTCGACTTTTATCCAACGCTGAATATGTGATATTGTTTGTGGAGCATGGCTCGTGAAGTGAGATGTTGGGTAACAGACAGACACGCACGACAACTACTGTAACCCTCGCTGCGCATGCATGCCGAGGGTTAACTACTGAATTTGATACCCAACATAACACCCTGCTGGTCAAAGAGTGGAGAGAATTATGTCTAGACCAACGTATGTCATCTACATCATTGAAAGACTAGCCCAGGACTAACGTTTTAGGACCTTTAGCATAATACAGTGGAACCTCCGAGATAGGGACGGCCTCTCTACAAAAGACACTTGTTTCAACTCCATGCTAATACTTTAGTGTATTATTTGACCTCCGATATAGTGATGACCTCTCTATAAGGGACAAAATTGTTGGCCCCATAGTGTTCCTTGTTCAGAGGTTCCACTGTATGTAATGAAAGACTAAACCCTCGGCGTGGATGCCCAGTTGGGCTATGATTCCAATATAAGTTTTGATCAACTTATATGTTTTGTCATGGTTTATACGTTATTTGGAAAGGCCGTTGTTTGTGAATGAGTGATAATAATAAATAATGTTGATCGCTGCCACCGCGCGCATTCATCACGTAACGCGGTTCTGGCCGCCTATAGATAAACACATGCGCATTGTCATGATCCTCGCTCTCGGTGACTCGATCCTGTCCTCTCCGTCTTCGCAATCACGCCACAAAAACCGCCCGGCTCGCGTCACCACCCGTATATCGTGCATGCTTCGCTGCTAGTCGTGGACCGTAGCTAGGGCGTTCGGTATTCTCCTATATTCCTCTGCATTTTTGCTTTAATTCAAAATCGCCAGTTTTTAAAATGAAGGCCAGTGTACGCTGAACCTTTTGGTGTCGCTTTTTGGGCCTGTTTGTTGCGCGTGGTGGCAAAAACCTTGTAACATACAGACACACAAACGACTACCGTCACCCTCGCTGCGCTAGCGCGCCGCCGAGGGTTAAATTATGTGTTTGGCTATCATAGTTTATGACGCAACAGTCCTGCTTAGGGACTGGGCTGACGGTTGCGTTATTGTTTAAGGGTTGGATTGAGCAGAAGGAAATAGTTCTTGAATAAAGTGTAGAGCAAAGGTTTCCGGATGTTTATCTCATGTCTAGTTATGTATGTAAACTTAATTCCCCCCATTTTTCCGCTATCGCAGATTACCCTGTTATACCTGTTCTCTCCATGCGGAATATATAGAATATATCACGTTTGTGTTATCACAACTACCCTCCGTGTTTGATGTTTATATCCGCCTGTCCCCCCGTGCTTGTAAAAGTGTGGAAAGTAGCGAGTGAGCGAAGTCCATCTATGACTTTGCCCTCCATTTGCCTAAAAGGTATGTATTACAGTAAATCTCAGAGTATAGAGTTGTCAATGTTTTTCATGTCAGTGTCAAATCGAGACCCAATGAGCAAGCCAATCTTCAAGACCTTCTGGACAGGTTTTTCAAAGTCCGTGAGAAACGTCCAAGTTAGCACGGACATCCATTACTAATTGTGTTATATATAGTCGGAGGAGGTGGAGTATAGTGTCCCGAGTGTTCGTGCAACACTGCACCATGTCCTGTCGACTGGCACGTCTACCCAGGTATGGCCATGTCAATGCATTCACGCTACCGTACACACACATTTGTAGGTGTGTGTGTTGTTACCAACACACACCCTGATAAAGTCTAAACCAGATTCTGAGATGGTTGCAGATACACTTCTAGTGTATAGTTGTATTAGGCTCGTGGAGATCCCAATAAGTTGGTTTACTAACAACCCGATGTCCCTGTGTCACAACCAACAGCTGCACATGTGTACTTTGTTCTAGTTGTCCATGCTTCCCATGTTGTTTGACAATTGCATAAGTGTTTCGTCCGGGTTGTTGCAGAGTAATGATCATATTCCTGAAGCGCTATGGCTACACACTAACTTGTCTCGAAACTCCCAAGAGGATTGATTTCATCAGGATTCCGAATTCATTGCTGTTGGTGTGTTGTCAGTGGTTACAGTGTGTGCCCTTTGATAGCTGTGTGCAAGTTGTTACTAAGTGGGTTTGGTAAACCTACTTATTGCCTCAGTTTGAGATTTATACATGTTTTACACCGTTAGGTCATCTTTGCTCTGATACTACTACTCCACCTTGCCAGTATGAAGGTCCTTGGCCAAGGTCAGTGCTTTGTAGACGCGTGTGAGTGTATGTGTAGGTTTTGATGCACTGCATGTTTATGTTGAAAGTCCCCGTGCCAGTTTGTTGCGGAATTGTTATTTGTTTGTAATGCCGTCTGCAGACTACAACACTCGTCTGGTTCCTGTTGTGATGACAAGGAATCTCCACGTCCACTGATGAACTGACCAGCGTGGTCCCCCCAGGGAAAATTCCCCGACGACTCCTCAACCCGGAGAGCTGCAGAACTCTCTCTTGGGAGCGAGAGGGCAGCAGAATTCCTTGTGAAAGAGTGCGGGGGAGTGAAAGTATTGAGCAAGAGTTTGCAGCATGCGGTTCGAGATTGCAATGTCGTCAAAAACAGAAGGTGGACTATGATCATCAAGTTCAGTTTCGCTCAACTCTACTGCACAACTTCCTGCAGTCTCAACCAACTGTTTCTAGTGACTCCCCAGCTCAAACCACCAGCAAAGGCCCCTTCTATACAAATAATCCCCCTCTACAGTCTTCAATGAATACCGGTGTTGGTTCCACCACTGTTGTCCCCAATGACTTGGTCAGTGAGAACAAAGTTACCAATGATGCTAGCTACAGCCAGAACTCTGTAGGTAGAGACATTGCTGCTGAGTTTGATTCCCTGTTCAGTCCAGAAATCCTCCTAAAATTGGACAATGATCCTCAACTGAAGGGTGGCCCTTGCGGCGATGCCCTCCCAGTTACGACATCGCCCACCGTGGAGAAAAGCAGTGTAGCAAAGCCGACTAATGCATCCGCTACTTCAACCATTACACCTTTACCTCCTGGATCGTTGACCGATGCTCACACCCGAGGTGTCTCCAGTTCTGAAACTGAACGTCCACTCTCTTCTGAGAGAACTAAGGGTAACGAGGATGGTTTAATGCACGGGCTTTTCGGAGGTGTGGCATCCGAGGACTACTCCAAGTGTAGGTCAGAGAGGACTCCGACCAGAGACCTACCTCGCAGAGCAAGGGCCGGCCAATCCGGCAGGGTTGACGAGAACCTGGAGGAGGAAGATGTTGGACTCCAGAGAGCCATGGAGCGAGTTGATGAGAGCAGGTGTGTAGCAATAGCTGATTCTTCTTTGTCCCTCTTTTGCCTGTTGAAGACATTGTGCCTAGTCTTGTTCCTGTGCTCTTGTGTTGTTACAGCCACCGAGCGACATGGAACTTTTACAACGAATGGGTCTGTCGGAAGAAGATCAGCTTAGGTTGGCTCTGGAGCTCAGCATGCAAGGTTTGTTGCCTCTCCCTGTGTTTTTAGCCACCTGTGCAAGCAATACGGCATATAGCCCACATGTCAACAGTTCTACCAATGTTTAACTATTATGAAAGTTACACTATAAATCTATACAGAGCAATGTGTGGAAGATGGTGCTATGGACCACAATCATCCAGGGACCTGCCGGCCAGACACTCCCACACCTGATACCCAGCGACCACGGTAACTAGTACATCGTATGTTGCTGTTGTTCCAATTAGTGACTGTTGGTGCATGTGTAGTTTCCACAGACGTACAAACTGGTGGGTATAGTCAACCATATTGGAAAAGCATCTTCAGGAGGTCTGCTACTATATATACCCATACTGTGACCCGTGTCCCATCTTTTTCACATGGGTTAAGATAATTGTTCTCACTGTGCTACAGGGCACTACATTAGTGATGTGTGCAGTGGTCGGGAGGGAGTGTGGAGAAGCTATAACACAGCTACGTGACTGAGGCCAGAGGAGGACATTAGACAGAGTGAGGAAAGGAACTGGCTACATCTTCTTCTACATGCACAAGTAATACTGATCTCACAGTTGATGTTTGCTGTATAATATATTACTTGTGCCCGACAGATCTGTTCTAGGTAGCATCAATACCAAGAGAGCTTCTTGACCACCATCACCATCTGACTCAGTACACTTCTGTCATTATGTTTCATGGTATTGTTTTTACCAACACTGCGCGCATGCGCAGTGAGGGTTATTGCAGTCGGTCTGTGGGCGTGTGTGTCTGTCCGTCCACCGTTTTTCGCGGCAACTCTGAGCGTGAAACGTGGACATACTAGTGGAAATGTTCAACATTGTTGGCGAGCGGGAGCGACCCAACTCCGGATTTGGCCGCAATGTTCGGGCTGCATAACGCCGTCAGCGCAGAGCTTTCCTTTCGTGAAGAAAGACAGATCTACCTGTCATCAAGTGGAAAGAACGACACCCCGCGCGATTTTTATGCGCGCGACTGCGTGGGCGTAATTTGTTGAGTCGCGTGCAACGGTGTACTTTGACCCCTGTGACTTCCGCTCCGTTTTTCGACGACCAGGCTGACTGCATCAGATTCTGACTGTCGGACCATTTTCGATCGCAGCAACGTAGCTTACCCACTACACCTGCATTAACGAACCGTACATTCCGGTGGATTAGACGGTGTGTGGAGGTATTATGACTCTGCCCATGACCGCAGAAATGATGGTTAGCAAAATTGACCGTGCTGGAGGAACACGCGGAGTATTCATTCGTCGTAACAGATGGAAGAGTTGACTGAACATAGACAACAATAACAGATGGAAAAGTTGACTGAACATAGACAAGTTGCTGAAATATATATTAACTCTCTTTGATATTCCGTTGCACTTCATATACAGTTGTGTTTTCCACATCTATTGCACTTTTCAGCATACGTTGCTGCGATCGCAAATGGTCCGACAGTCAGAATCTGATGCAGTCAGCCTGGTCGTCGAAAAACGGAGCGGAAGTCACAGGGGTCAAAGTACACCGTTGCACGCGACTCAACAAATTACGCCCACGCAGTCGCGCGCATAAAAATCGCGCGGGGTGTCGTTCTTTCCACTTGATCCGCGTATTGTACATTGGCAGAACGGTGAGCAGGTGAGCAGAACGGTACTTACCTTACGCTTTCAGCTCGTCAGTCGCGGTCCACCAGGCAGCTTGCATGCAGCACTATGTGCACGAGCAATCCTAGCGTATTTGCAAGTTGCACCTTGGAACCATGAAGATTGGGAAGAGGTGCAGCCTCGGTCAGTCACCGAAGGTTGCAGCGCATGGATAGATCATGTGTGAAAATTAGTTTCGGATAAAGAGAAGCGCGTACAAAGCCGCGCATGCGCACTTACACGACGTACGACGTATATACTTTGTCCGTAATTGTAGCATATACGGAGCGGAAGTTAAAGACACGCATGTATTGTAATGGTGAATGTTTAATACTTCACCTAGGCAACAATATAGGGGATTGTGTGATGGGGTTGGGGGTGTCAGCGTACTCAAATCTGTTCATTAACCATGCTTCATGTATCCTATCCCTATCTTGTCTCCCTTTCCATCCCTACATGACCTCTTTTTTTAAATTCACAGGATTTTAAATTTATTTGTCTCCACTCATTTTTTATACTACTACGTATTATCTCTGTGGAAGGGGGGCAAAAAATGCCTGTTGTCGTCACGGAAATGATATGCATATCATTCCATGTTTCATCTCCATGTGTGCTGCCGTTAGCAAGTTTGAGGAGTGAAGAAGTAATTTTAAAGAAAAATGCCTGAGGTTATTTGTTGTTGTGGTGGTCATGGAAACGACGATATTACACACATGTGTACCAAGTTTCATCTCCATGCGTGGTACCGTTAGCGAGTTTGAGGAGTTAAGAAGTAATTTGAAAGAAAAGTGCCTGAGGCTATTTGTTGTTGTGGTCGTCATGGAAACGATGTTACACACATGAGTATCTCCATGCATGGTACCGTTAGCGAGTTTGAGGAGTGAAGAAATAATTTTAAATAAATGAGGCTATTTTGTTGTGGTTGTCATGGAAACGATGTAATAACATGTGCACCAAGTTTCACCTCCATGTGGCAAGTTTGAGGAGTGAAGAACTAGAATATTGCCTGAGGCTTTTTCACGCCATATGCAGTCGTCATGGAAACATGTAATCGTCATGGAAATGATATATAAGGCATACATACCAAGTTTCATCTCTGTGTGCTACCATTGGAAGTTTGAGAAGTAAATTTAAAGAAAAGTGCCTGAGGCTATTTGTTGTTGTTTACAAACATGTGTTGTTGTGATTTTAATGTTGGTGATTGAATACATTATGTGTACGAAGTTTCGTTCACATAGCTCTTACCATTTGTGAGTTATACTGACAAATGTGATCCCATTATAATATATTGCCTGGGGCTATTTGTTGTTGTTTACAGTAAACAATGTTGTTTACAAAGAAATAAGTATGACCAGTCTCTTCGGGTGACGGATATATACATTCTTACAAAATTTCATTACTTTCGTTTTTGGGTTACGCGAGTTCAATCTGAAGAAGAAGGAGAAGAAGGAGAAGATCAGAACAAAACTCCCTATCATAGCCCCATACATCTGTGATGCTCGGTACCATGCCAAAAGTTAGACTACTGTAAACACGCAATTGGCCAATCAGATTCCGAGTTTAGAGGTAACTAAATATAGGTTAGACGCGGAAGCGAGGTGTCTACGCTACATTGCAACCTGAGGGGCTGTGGAATGTTGGCGTCCCGAGCGCAGCGAGGGCGCTACCCACATGCCCCGAGGGTTGCAATGTTGCGTAGACAACCGAGCTTCCGCGTCTAACCGGTTTAGACCGGAGTATCTGATTGGTGTTTGCGCGTTCAAATGGGTAGCAACAAGCTAGCAACGCTGTGCTCATTCCTCATTCCTTACCTTCGGATGGAACAAGACGCTTTTTTTACGTGTGAGACTCCGAGGAGACAGCCCCCGCCCCCCGTCAAAAATCGTTTACGTCATTATAAAACGCCCTCATTGGTGGTGCGCGTTTGAAAGGGTTAGCAACGCACGGCAACGGCCCAATGTGTTTGTGTATATCGCCAGAGCTGAAGAAGCCGACGCTTTTTTCGTGGAATATTGACGTGATTTCTGACTTTCGCGAGCTCCGGAGACTGTCCACAGACTTCTTGCAGGTGCACTACGCATTTTAATTAAAAGAGCTACTTTGCCAGTCGCGCCTTCTACGCTTACATATACCGAACGCCGAATCGGCCGGTTTGCGCAGATAACGACTTTTTAGAATAGCCATTTTGTACGGGGAGTTTGCTGTAGACCACCTGCAAACGCCATTAGACACCTGAAACGAGGTGTCTATGAAAAATAAACCCCCGCAATTCTGTAATCTGATTGGTCAATTGCGCGTGACTGCGGTCTAAATATAGGTTAGACGCGGAAGCGAGGTGTCTACGCTACATTGCAACCCGAGAGGTTGTGGAATGTTGGCGTCCCGAGCGCAGCGAGGGCGCTACCCACATGCCACGAGGGTTGCAATGTAACGTTGACACCGAGCTTCCGCGTCTAACCGGTTTAGACCGAAGTATCTGATTGGTGTTTGCGCGTTCAAATGGGTAGCAACAAGCTAGCAACGCAGCGCTCATTCTTACCTTCGGATGGAACAAGACGCTTTTTTGATTTTGTCCGACTCCGAGGAGCGGCCCCCGTCAAAAATCGCTTACGTCATCATAAAACGCCCTCATTGCATTGGTGGTGCGCGTTTGAATATGGCGTGTGATCAGTGTCAAAAATGGTATATACGCAAAAAAAATGGTACGCGTACGCACGCGCGGTCGATGAGGAGGTCAGTCTACTTTACTAAGAGGTCGGTCCGCTTTACTATTAGAGGTCGGTCTACTTTACTAGGAGGTCGGTCTACTTTACTAGGAGGTCGGTCTACTTTACTAGGAGGTCGGTCTACTTTACTAGGAAGTCGGTCTACTTTACTAGGAGGTCGGTCCTCTTTACCAGGAGGTCGGTCCGCTTTACTAGGAGGTCGGTCCACTTTGCAAAGTGGCGGTGCAAATTCCAATTAATGCGCATCCACGTGGCCGCGGGGAAATGGCAGACAAGTTCGAGAGAGCAAAGAATTTGCTCATCGGCGCTGTGGACACGGTCATCGCCCTTACAAACCAGCAAGATTTCCCCTCTCAGGCTAATAGCACTAGTAGCAGCAGTTCAATCCGAAGCACCAGCATTGAAGAGCACAAACGCCTTTTCTGTTTCATACCCTCGAAGGGGAAGCGACCGCCAGGGAGGAAAGGGAAAGGGAAGCGCAAAAGTGCCACTACCTGGAAGAAGGAGTGCATATGCCTACGACATACGGATCAGACGTGGAAGCCTTCATCCGAGGAAAAAATAGAGCTTGCAAGGATTGGCCTAGGCCTCGCGGAAGTTGTTTTTCATAGTGACGGTGATGGGGAACATATTCACAGTGTTTTGCTTCAAACGTTTTCTGTACTTGAGTCCTGCGGTGGCTATACACTCATGCGGTAAGCTGAGAATTCACATAACATGGTTGAGATTGAAGGGCCAGATAGTGGTATATCTGTGGCATATTTAAACGATATCCTTAACCACGCTAAGCTGTTTATCCGACCACCTCAAAAGGATATCACTGAAGTTGAAATATTCTGGCTCGAGTGGTGTAAATAGCACTATGACCACTGACCATACACTCAGAAACAGACATACAAGTGCTTTACCACTCAGACACTCAAACTTACCTAGCCCCATGGCAACTCCCCAGATGCACCCTGAGAAACATGTACTTAGCCTTTCTTAACTCCCAGATACTCAAAACACCCTGAATGTGGCACTACATTAGGGCTAAATTTACAATTGCAAGAATGCAACAGGAGTAACATTGTCTAATAGACGCCATATTCCCTTATAATTATTTCCCCACTATAGGATGCTGGTGAGCCACAGGAGTTCTGTCATGGTTGTAATGTGCTACTTCCAATGTCTCAGCTTAGGAAGCATGTCGCTAGTTGTGCCAAGAAGGAAAGGTATGTCTGTATAATAAATTATTGCAGATGTTATAGAGATCAAAGGTACCACGCGCTAGTGTATACTCAGTTGTGTGAGCTTATGCAATGTGTAGAGCACAACTTGTTGCTTCTTTAGGCCTGGAAGCAGTGGTGGTTGCGCTTTGCCAGAAGAACAGGTTGGTGATTTTCACTCCAGTCCACCTTGGGAGAGACGTCTGCCCAGTCCCCCTCATCTCCTGAGACGCCAAGCCCCTTTCTGAAGAGAAAAAGAATTGTGAATAAGTGTGTTTTCACCTTGGATTTGCAGTTAGCCAATAATGTGTGATTTTTGATTTAAAGACTTGCAGGGAGCAGTCGGGAGGAAGAGGCACCTTTGAGGAAGAAAAGGTGTTTGGCTAACAAGGACAGTGCCTCAATGACTGTTGATAACAACCCCGATAGCCCCATTGCCCCATCCCCTCAACCTTTAAGTCCAGTATTGGAGGAAAGAAAGTGTGAAAGCACAGCGTACAGGTTAGTATAATATGCAACAATCAGTTCTGTGTATTATTATTGGTCATTTTCCTAGTTGTTTTGTAAATCTGATATCTGACGATGAGGCAGATTGGGTGCAAGATCCTGCTGTACAGCTCATAATACAATCTTTGAACAAGGACAAGGACTCAGGGTAATGACTCTAACCATAGTGTCTCAGAGACTAATGTATTGCTCACTTTCAGAGAATCCACTCAGTCGACCGTTACCATTGAAGAGCCCATCAAACAACACCGAGCTAAAGTGCTATATCCAAATAGTACTAATGCTCTATGCATTACAGTTAGACGTGGCAGCATTTTGGACGATACCATATTCTCACTTCGTCCAGGATTTGATGAAAAGAAGCATATTAAAGTTCGTTTTTTAAGTAAGTTAGATGAATGCATGTTGGTAATCGTAGCTACTCTATTTTTTGTAGGGGAGCCAGGTATTGACGAAGGAGGGCCCAAAAGAGAATTTTTATGTTGTTGCTTAATGCTATTTCAAACAATAGCTCACTTCTTGAAGGTTCCCCTACCCGAAGGGTGTTACGGCACAACACAAGCAGTTCTGTAGCGCAATATGGTTTTTAACTGCTTTTGCTCTTTAGGATGAGCTCTACCTTTATGTTGGACAAATCATGAGCCTTTCTATTATACACGGTGGACCTGGACCTGTTTTCTTTTTCCCAACTATAATCGACTACCTGTTTGGTGGCACATCTTCTGCGTCCCCCTGTATTGATGATATCCCTGACACACAAGTCCAATCTAAGATAAGAAAGGTAATGACATGTTTCTTAGGCGTATAGATGGTGTAAGCTTTGTGTGTGTGTGTTAGACTACAAAGAAACAGTGTCTAGGCTAAGCATTGACGTTCACTTTTCTGTCATTTTTTCCAACCTCCAAAGAGAGGACGACCTCCTTATAAAGGACAAAATGCCTGGTCCTAACGTGTCCATTATTCAGAGGTTCCACTGTATCGACTATCTATTATGGTAGTGTTGTTTTGTAGCTTGCAGAGTCAGAGAGTTTGGCTGGTTTTAAGAGTCTATTGTCTACAGAAGAGTATGACTTTAGATTCGCATGTGGCATAACGAAGACAATCGGCCGAATGGAGCTCTTGGATAAGAAGAAAACTATTGATGCCATGTGTCTGCACTATGTGATCCTAGTGAGCCTCGCTGAGTTGGAACAGCTGCGACGTGGACTAGCCATCCAAAAATTCAATAGCCTTATGCTGTCCCAAAAGCAGTTAGGAAAGCCTTTGCACCACCAATCCAAAAAATATCAAGTGATTTCATCCCGGATATGTACACTGCTCTATTTTCACCTACTGGAAGCAACAAAGGGTCATAGAAGAGAGCATCATGATGTCATGGGTGCGATACCTGCAGTATGTGGAAGGTGAGATTATGTCAGATGGTGATACCTTTTGAATTTCAACATTAATTTGCAGCTGGTGGAGATCCAAGTGCACCGACTTTGAGTGATGTCATACAGGATGCGATACCATCCCACCACTTGGATTTGGATATGCTGACCCCGTTATCATTTTCTCAGATACTGGTGTTTTGCCATGTGTTTCAACATGCTGTCTGAGTCTAACCATTCCAAGAAGTTTTCCAACTGAGTTGGAAAAATTCAAGGAGAAAATGAATCTAGCAATCCTTGGATCGCAGGGATTCTTTGGTTCTGTATGAAGTTATACCTTGTTCGAACGAGTTGCTTCATCATCACTTATTCACCTCAGCTGTACCGAGTTGCTTCATCATCACTTATTCAGTACATTATTCACTGGAACATTGTGTTCGCTGACATTTTTTTGTGCAGAGCCAGTCGTGTGACTGTGACTCCATAAGCAATCGTGAATAATTTACAATAAACAGCCAAGCTTTCTAGAAACAAATTGTAAAACACACCTATAGGAGTCAATTCAATATTGCATGCTTGATTCCTCGTGTAAAAGAGTTGCTTGAAGCTCTAGCATGTCAACTCTAGTAAGAGGGTTGGGAATCTCGGGAACGGTAATGGCACGATCAGTGCAGTCATGGGGAACAGGGCCGCCCCTATCGACCCCAAAGTCCTGCCCTTCCTCCTGCAATTATACAATAACAATTAATGCAACACAACCTGAATGTATGATATATATATATACCTCATGGATGTCCTCAAATACCTCCTTTGCAATATGGCTGCTGGTCATCGCAATCCTCTGCAAACCAATCGTCCAGAGTTGTTCAGGGGAGAGATTGTGCTCAGTCCTGAGAGGGTGTTTAACCCATGCTTCTTGCCACGATTTGAGGTGCTTGTTTATGCGCGGTATAAAAACCATATGAAGATAGAAAAGATGCAAGTCATTATCTGCATTGAGCATGTTTACAGATTCTAAGTGAGTAAAAAGGGAGTGATAAAAACTAGCAACTCCTTCGTAAACATCTCTCCACAACCGTTCAATTCTCTGATTGTGTACACTTTTGTCCACAATTACCGTACATCTGTTCGGCCCCCGTAGTGGATGATCAAGGAGATACATAGAAACATCGACATTTTCCCCACCTTTATCGATACGAATACGCGATGGAGACCATACTTGGCGATGGTTTCCCTGAAGAATTTAAGAACAGTGTTGGCCCGGTTGTTATTCGAGCAGTGCAAATACACCGGAATTCTAGAATACCCGTCCACACCTCCATGAATAACAAGCCTCCACCTAGAAATCAATGTAGTTTAACAAACAACACTGTATAGCAGGTTTATTTTTGTTCGGTAGGCAAAACAGAATTTAATGCTCTATATTAAATTTGTTCTCATGTACGCATGCACCTATAGACATGCACTCAGCGTATTACATATTTTCATACAGTGCAATATTCGTTCTTGAAAATGAAAAGAACTAACTTTTCCCCCAACAAAAGGTTGCTTTACACAAAACCTGAGGCTCTCATGCTACTAGCTACATGTCACAAACTGATAGCTGAAAGAAGTCTAATCAGTTTGTGGTACCCATCAAGGTGCCACAGGGACAAAGGTGAAAAAACTGTATACTTCCGCCGCTCTAAGGCTGATCCCCATCTGATGGCAACACCTTCTGGATCAACTCTAAGAAGAGATTCTCGAATACGCATTTGTTGTAATCGAATACCCCGGCTCAGCAAGTGACCATGCATCAATCTATAACCAGAATTTGGTGGGAGACAATTGCATCAAGCTCATGGTCGGTGATTGTAGAATACAGAGCAGTCACGCTAAATCCGTACTCGTTCATTCTTCTTCTTATAGTGCTCAAACTAACACCCAATAATTCAGCAATTTTAGGACACTGCAGACCCAAACTCAGAAGATGTTCAAGTTGTTCTGGTTTGATATCAAACTTTGGACATCCCCGTGAGTTCCTGACACTTACAGGAACCTGGTATCCTCTAGCTGATTCTGCACCTTTATTTTGATCTATTTCTTGAAGAAAGACTCAACCCCACTGCAACAGAGTCCGATATTTCGGCGCTTGTCAAATCAAGCGCCAGTAAAAAACGATGAGCCTTTCAACAAGAGATAAGTGAGTCCAAATCATCGGGTACTTCTCCCTCCACGAAGCAGACTAGTCGTTGCTTCACTCGCTGACAAACGCCACTCACATTCTGCAGTATTTCGTCGCCTGTACTCATTCTCTCCCGACCGACACCGTCCACTGCGAACGACTGTCCACCAGTCTTTCCCAATTAGTGCCCACGTACAATAAACACGCATGCGCAGAGCACGAAAGACCACACCTCCGCGAGGATCGACGCACACAACCTCCTTGCAGTCCTGTTATAGGAAAGTTGCGCCCTCCAATTCTATAGCAAATCGGACCGTTTTTTGATCGACCTCCCAGCAGTGGACCGACCTCCTAGTAAAGTAGACCGACTTCCTAGTAAAGTAGACCGACCTCCTAGTAAAGTGGACCGACCTCCTAGTAAAGTAGACCGACCTCTAATTGTAAAGCGGACCGACTTCCTAGTAAAGTAGACCGACCTCTAATTGTAAAGCGGACCGACTTCCTAGTAAAGTAGACCGACCTCTAATTGTAAAGCGGACCGACTTCCTAGTAAAGTAGACCGACCTCCTAGTAAAGTAGACCGACCTCTAATAGTAAAGCGGACCGACCTCCTAGTAAAGTAGACCGACCTCTAATTGTAAAGCGGACCGACTTCCTAGTAGAGTAGACCGACCTCCTAGTAAAGTGCACCAACCTCCAACTAAAGTGTCCTTGTAAAGTGGACCAACCTCCTAGTAAAGTGCACCGACCTCTTCATGAACTAACGACCGCCGAAACCGAAAGCGCATGCGTATCATTTTTTGCGTACCATTTTTGCGTTTTCAGGCGACCGCGTATTTTTCCACAGAAAGGAAGAGACAGCTATCTGCAATGTAGCCATCTACTTATTAGCAGCGAAAGCCATCTGGTCTGGCTGAAACGGCGCTTCAAAGACAGCTATGTCGAATTTCACCCTCGCGCCACGTGAAGCGGAAAGTATGCGGAAGCGTGCACGGACCACCAAAAAAAACAGGCTGCTTTGACGCTACCACCGTTGTGAGTTTGCTTCACTTTTCGAAAAGCTCTGTTGGCCAACGAACGCCTTCCGAAGGGTGTGTCAGCAAGATAAAAATGCTCAACGCACAATCGGCGTAGAAAATTGCTGTTTTATAGTTTCCGTAGGCCCACTAGAACAGAACGGGCTAATTTTCAGCGTGACTTATACGCGTGCACGGTCACATATACAAACCAGAGACACATTACAGCAAATACATGAAAAAGCTGCTATGCATAATGTTATGGCATGAGTATATCTGTAAAACACACCTTACTACAGAACGTCTCTCTAACAATTACAACACCTTTAGCCTTTTGTTTGTTGGCTCATCGCTGTAATTGAGTTTTAGCTTTTGTCGTAGACGTCTCCCTACAGACGTGTACTGCACTCTGATCCCAATGGTTGTTACAACTCCACCTTGCTCTAATGGCTGATACCTAATTACTTGGTAAATGAAAATCACTGAAGTGCAAACCCTCTGCGCATTGTGACGCGCACACGTGAGTAAACGCATGTGCTGTACACTAATTGATGGGCTGGGTTTAGTTCTGGCTGTCTCTAGCCATCTCGCGCAGAGTCTGACGCGGGCTAACTACACTACTAGACAGCATGCGAGAGGCGATACACGCCCTGCGTTGCATCTTCTGGTGCCTCCGAGGTCGCAGAGCACGCGGATCGCGGTAAGCCATCCCGTCCGTTGCGTATTTGCATATTGGCTTTTTCGTGCAGAGAAAACCGCCTTTAGTTTCTGACCTTCGTCGCCCGTTGGGTAGATGGTATCGTTTCTGGGACGAACAGACGTTCGAGGAGCGAGATGTAGAGTAACAGACAAACAGACAAACAGACAGACCCAACTACTGTACCCTCGCTGCGCACGCACGCCGAGGGTAAAAATGCAGCACATTACTTGAATGTGACTTTGAATACGGGTAATTATAATAATATAGAGATATGCACATTAGAAATCTGATGACCCTGTGCTGCGGCATTCCATGTGTGAGGCAGTGAGGGCAATGTATGAATGCAAGCTGCCGAATATAGAGCAATAAGCACTTGATTGTGTGGGTTAAGCAGTGCCATGGGGACCAACCTACATGCACTCAGTTGGTGAATTCTTTGAGTCACCACTGCTAAAGTGCTTATATTGCTACTCACCCTATATAGAATTCACTTACGCAATCAGAGCAGCATTGTGTTTGGGGCAGAGTGAGAAGGCCCCTCACAACTTCTTTCATGTGGCCGTTATAACATAGGATAATTATACTGGAGTGTTTCTGTATGCATATTATTCATATACACAACTACTAATCACTAAATGCCTTAGTATGAGGAATTCACTTTGGCACAAATTTAGTTATATCGTACTAAAAATATTTTGGTATAATTTATACCACTTACAGTCCGTAGCATATTATACGTCAACGTGTCATAATTCATAATTCACATCACCCACTCTCCTTAGAAGTTCATTTCGCTGCAGCAAACGTTCACAGTCTCGGCACTGGTTGCCTGAAAGTGTTTTTGTTTGTGCTGATTTGAAGGAGCTATGTGAAATCAGAAAACAGTTCTCACTAAAATACACCAGCCTTTCATGCACACATAATAAAGGCAAGGGGTTTGCTCCTATGACAAGTAAATTAAAAAATCCTGCGAATTTAAAAAGAGGCATATAAAGGGAGACAAGATAGGGATGGGATACATGAAGCATGGTTAATGAACAGATTGGAGTACGCTGACACCCCCAACCCCATCACACAATCCCTTAATCCCTTGTTGCCTGGTGTGCTACTCTTCTTAGGGCTAAAGGTTACTAAAAGAAAACATTCTTTCACCGTGTCCCTGTTGTTTTAGTAATTTCATACTGCCACATTCACTTTAATTAAACTCCACTTGGACTCTATAAGGGTGTTGGTTACTCAGTAGTGTATTGTTCTGAATATTGTAATGGTGAACGTTTAATACTTCACCTAGGCAACAATTTAGGGATTGTGTGATGGGGTTGGGGTTGTCAGCGTACTCAAATCTGTTCATTAACCATGCTTCATGTATCCATCCCTATTTGTCTCCCTTTCTTTTTATACCATCCCTATATGCCTCTTTTTTTAAATTCGGAGGATTTTTAATTTACTTCTCTCCACTCATTTTTATATACTACTACGTGGAAGGGGGCAAGCCCCTATAAAATTAATAATAGAGAATAAAGCCTGTTGTCGTCATGCAAATTATGTTTCATCTCCATGTGTGCTGCCGTTAGCAAGTTTGAGGAGTGAAGAAGTAATTTTAAATAAAAGTGCCTGAGGCTATTTGTTGCTGTGGTCGTCATGGAAACGATGTTACACACATGCGTACCAAGTTTCATGTCCATGCGTGGTACCGTTAGCGAGTTTGAGGAGTGAAGAAGTGATTTTAAAGAAAAGTGCGGGAGGCTATTTGTTGTTGTGGTCGTCATGGAAACAACGTAATACACATGTGCACCAAGTTTCATCTCCATGCATGCTAGAGTTAGCAAGTTTGAGGAGTGAAGAAGTAAGAAAAGAGCGAAACGATGTTACACACATGCATACCAAGTTTCATGTCCATGCGTGGTACCGTTAGCGAGTTTGAGGAGTGAAGAAGTAATTTTAGAGAAAAGTGCCGGAGGATATTTGTTGTTGTGGTCGTCATGGAAACGATGTTACACACATGCATACCAAGTTTCATCTCCATGCGTGGTACCATTAGCGAGTTTGAGGAGTGAAGAAATAATTTTAAAGAAGAGTGCCTGGGGCTATTTGTTGTTGTGGTCGTCATGGAATATGCGTACCAAGTTTCATCTCCATGCGTGGTACCGTTAGCGAGTTTGAGGAGTGAAGAAGCAATTTTAAAGAAAAATGCCTGAGGCTATTTGTCGTTGTGGATGTCATGGAAACGATTACGCATGCGCACAAAGTTTCACCTCCATGCGTGCTACAGTTAGCAAGTT